TTGCTATAAACTATATTTAAAATATTGAAATGTATTCTTCCTGAAGAGTGTGGATTTCCACCAGATCTCACATTTAGAGCTACTTAGGGCCGTCTGCTTTTGCAGCAGTAGTTCTATACGAACGGGCAATCCAAATAAAATAATATCACATACAAAACCTAGACCCCCTACCCTGACAGATTAAATCATCTTACAGCACCACAAACAAACAGGTGACAAATCCAGGTGACAAAAACAACAATCCAGCCAGGAGTCGTGGCACACACTTGGAATCCCAGCACTTGAGAGGCTGAGGCAGGAGAATTGGCATAAGGTCAAGGACTAGCCTGGATTACACAGGATCTGTCTCAAAAATCGAAAACGAGTCTGGCATGGTGGGCCCACATTTTCAATCCTAGTATTTGGCAGAGGCAGGCAGATCTCTTTTGAGTTCAAGGACAGCCTGAGTTCTAGGCCAGTCAGGGCTCCATAGTTAGACCCTGTCTCAAAACAAAAACAACAAAAACAAACCACCAAAATAAGGGCCAGTGAGATGGCTCCGCAGGTAAAGGCACCTACCCCACAACTCTGGAAACCTGGGTTCAATTCCTAGATCCCATGTAACGGTGAAAGAAAAGAACTGACTTGAAAATTGTCCCTGATACACACACACACACACACACACACACACACACACACACACACACACACACACACACACCACAAATAATTTTTTATTTTCAAAAGAAAGTAAGAATAAGCCAAACTTGTGACAGAAGCGGGCACAAGAGACTGAGCTGTGAGACCTGTGCCACACAGTCATTCAAATGCCATCATTCCCCCGCCAAATAAGAAAAACACACCAGAAACCACCAAATAAACATTTAAAATGTCCTTTGATGATCCATTACTTAGTCTGGATTAGAAGGGTCTTTAATTTACCTTTCTGGGAAAACTCCAGTCGTAAGACGCGGCTGCCGAGGACTGAACTTTTGTTTCTCTCCCTAGTCTTCCTTTTCAGAAGTGGTGACACAGAGTGTACCCACTGTCCCCATCAGCTGTGTCGCAAAGATATGTTTGAGCTCCAAGCCACAGACTTCCTCTTTGAAACCGATGGTATTTTTTTTCCATTCCCTGGCTTCCCTCTCTTTAGAATGGGTCTCTTCTCACATTACATTTATTTAGACACTTACTTGGATATGTGTGTATACATGTACCATGGCATATGTGTTAAGGTCAGAGGACAGCTTCTGGGAGTTGGTTTTCTCCTTCCACCTTGTGGATCCCAGGGATCAAATTCAGGTTGTTGGGCTAGAAGACATGTATTTTATCCACTAAATATGTCTCCAGCCCACACCACGTGCTGTTCTAAACTGAGGACATGAAAGCAGGTAAAAGTTGGCTTTTCCCCACCTTGTGTGGAACTTTCAGGATGTCAGAGGTTGTTAACACACTGGAGGCAGATGAGTCCATGCGATGTGATGGGACAGAGTCCTTTCCATGTGGCTACAGCACGGGAAGAGTCTCAGCGGGAAAACACTGATACTGACTGACGTGAGTGAAGTGAGAGTCGGAGTTCTCGAACAGGAGGAGGGGATGCTCGGATAACAGACCATTTGAAAACTGTCAGGAAGGAGAGCAGGAAGATCAAAGACTAAAGAATGAATGAATGAAGTTGAAGAAGCAGGAATAATCCCTTGGAGCTTTTGTCTGTATAATAAGAGAAATGAGTATATCTATAGTAGAGGTTTAAGAAACAGCACATCTGCATTCTGAAACAATCACTAAAACTGAGGCGAGAACGGAATGGAAAGTGGCCAGGACAGACATGAATAGGCCAGTTGGGATCCCTGCAGGAACCCATCTGAGGACAATAGGGACTGAAATGGCAGCAGTAGAGAGATGATAGATTTGAGAGACATTAGGAGAGTGGCAGCAGAAACAAGGATAAAGACACGATGACCAAAGATAGCACTAAATGGCAAGACTCAGTCAGAACCCAAGAAGGAAACTGGAAATTCAAGACTTAAAGAGTGACAGCCATGTAACCACACATGTATTGAACACATACACTGACCCAGTCTGTTAGGTGGTAGAGAGAAAAACAAAACACAGTTATAACATAGTCCTTGAGTTGAAGTATTACGCACTCTTATGAATAGGTATCTTTATTCTACAAAACAATGTTCCAGATTGTGCATGCAAGAATGTTGTAGATGCTGTTATAGATTTACACACTATGGATTGGGACCCGAAAGAAAAAAAAAAAGTCAGGCTACTAAGGATGCTGTTGAGAAAAGCTTCAGAGAATGAAATGTTCAAGTTGCATTTTACTTTCAAAATCACAATTTGCTTTTCAAAATACAGTCTTCATATAGGCCATTGTCTTAGTTACTATTCTAGTGCTGCGAGGAGACACCAGGGCCAAGGCAACTTATACTAGAAAGCATTTAATTGGGGCTTGCTTATAGTTTTAGAGGGTTAGTCCATGACCATCATGTCAGGGGCATAGTGGCAGGCAGGCATGGTGCTGGAACAGCAGCCAAGAGCACACATACGATTTGAAAGTTGCAGGTAGAGAGAGAGCAAGACTGGGCCTGGCTTGGGCTTTTGAAACCTTAAAACCTACCCTCAATGACACACCTCCTCCAACTAGGCTACACCTCTTAATCCTCCTCTGTTCCACCAATTGGGTACCAAACATTTACATATATGAACCCACGGGGGCCATTCTCATTCAAACCACCATAGCCATGCTTAGAGAAATTCCAGTGGGATTTCTGGGCCTAGGAGCAAGAACTCCTGGGTTTGGAGATCAGAAAAGGAAAACAGAGTAAGGACAACAAACACCTACTGGATCTTTAACCACTGTCACCTTATAGGTAATGGAGAGACCACTGAGGAGTTACATGATTACTTTTGGGTTTACAGAATGTGTAGAGTGGTGAGGTACAGGACAGTGGTGAAATCCTTCCATATGGTTTGAACATAGGCCATAACTATGGGAGAGAAATGGTAGGGTAGACATCTGATGCATCCAGTCAGTTGTGAGAGGAAGTTTTCTGTACTGTATCCACTGCCCAATACTGTGGACATATAAGGATGAATGTAGAATTATGCACAAATGAGTTTCTGAATTTGGGATGCTTATGGACATTCAGAAAGATTGGGAGAGCAGTTGGGTACACAAATCTGGGATTCAGGAAACATCCTGATTTGCATGGTAGATAATGAGTTCTGGGGTCTGGGCTGCAGCTCAGTAGAATATTTATTTAACAGGTCCAAGGTTGGGGGCTCAAATCACAGCACTCTAAGAACACACATAAAACCTAAAACCACACTATTCCTCAGTGTTAATCATTTCTCTCCTTTTGAGGTGGAACATCTCTTGTGGTTAGGTAACACTACCTGACAAACCCTGGCCAGTGCATTAAAGATTTAACTGTTAATGCATGACTTCTTCTGACTGTTCCCTTCATAGGGCTCTTATGGAGGCTGTGATGAGCTAGTGACACTGACCTAGGTCTAAACGTAGATCTGAGTTCTCTACATGGAGGACAGTTTCTCTGGAGTCACCCAAACCTACACAAAATTCTCTAAGCAAAATCCAAATTCTTCCATGTTAAGCTCCTTAAATTTGGGGAAATTTTGTACACTGGTCATCTTGATTACATTTGTGATGTAGACAAGCAAGCCATCTGTATACATGTGATAGAAACTGTGGGTCTGGGTACTATCAAAGGTAGAAAATGAAGTACAATTCTGAGGATGGGACTTGGCCGAACTGCAGTAATTAGGAGAGCCAGAACAGACAGTGGAGTTGGTTAAGGGAACTGAGAAAGTGATGAGAGAAATGGCATGAATAGCCAGGTACTTGAGGCCAGAGGGGGAATGGAAGAAAAAGCAGTGGCCAAGTGTCAAATGTCACTTAGAGGTCAAATATGAGAACTGGAGAAAACATTGGATTTGGAATTAAGACATCGTAATCTTTCTGGCTAGAGCATTGGTGTAGTAAGGTAGAGACATCAGGTTCTTTGCAGATTTTGTATTTCTCCAGATACCACTGTAATTCATCACAAGACATTCATGAGCCCCTGAGCTAGACTAAATCCACGGCATATGTATGTGCCTATCATCCAGTTTTTAAAAAAGATTTTGCTTTAGGCTGTGTGTGGGTATGTGTACTTGAATGTAGGTGTCTGTGGAGGCCTGAGGCATTAGATTCCCTGGAGTTTACAGGTGGTTGTGAACTGCCCAATGTGTGAGTTGGGGACCAAATTTGGGTCTTCTGCAAGATCAATATGTGTTATTAATTACTGAGCCTGTTCTCCTACCCCACCATCCTCGTTTTGACATCAAGAACACTTGCATGGTTCAATGTCTCAATTACTTATCCTTTAACCCCACTGTCTAGATTTCAACAAAAATTACTGGCAGAAGACTTCTGAGCTATGAACCTGAAAATTTGCTTACTATTGACTTTTCCTACACAAAGTGCTCCACTCTACTTTCTGACTCCAAAATCCTCTTTTTCTCTGCCATTCCTGATCAACGTCTTTGAACACTAGTATTCTTTTATGGTTCTTTATTCAGTATTATGCTCTCTCCTGGAATATCCCATAAGCAAGATATGAATTAGTTCAATGCCATCTCTAAAACTCTGCAACATATATGTATGTACATGTGGGTTTGTGTGGAGGTGAGAAGACAACCTCTGGTGTCTATCTTGCCTGGCATCTTGTTTGCTGCTGTGTATACCATCATGGGCTACAAGCTTCTGGGGATTCTCTTGTCTCTGCCTCTCATCTTCTTCACAGGAGTGCTGTGATTACAGATGTGTGCTTCTGCACCCAGCTCTTACATGGTTCTGGCTTCTGCACCATCTGAAGTCAGGTCCTCATGAATGCATGGCAAGAACCCTTTACCCACTGAGCCACCTCCAGCTGTCAAAGACGTTTTTTAATCATATAATTCTTACTCATAATAAATGAAGTGCTATTTCAGAGTATAAAACTTATAAATTCTGTTTCAAATGTTATTTTATTGCAAGACGGTATAACTTGTTACAAGTTTAAACCATAACTTGGTAGTTTCTGTCAGGCAGCAGTTGCTGCAAATTACTAATTCAAAAGTGATCACCAGACAACTCCAGATACACAGCAAGGATCAGAAATACTTGACTGGCCAATAGTGTTAAGTCACTAAATCAATCTCGATCATTTTTCAGGAAAGGTACACTGTAATTTCAATAGCCAGCAATACAGGAAGAGTTCTTCACACAGACCAGTTCCCCTTTCAGTTAACTAACTCTGGCCATCTCAACAGAGACAGATGCATTCACATAACCGGCTGAGCCTGAGCCTTCTTTGCAAGCAGCTTTAGGTCCGCAACGCACTTGGCAATGGTCTCCTTTTCCTGTGACAAGGAAAGAGAAAGGTAGTTAGTTATCTCAAGAACATGTAAAAGGGGTATAATTCCTACTAGAACAGAACCTCAAGATTATTGCTTAATGTGGAAAGCTTACTAATTCCCTGGCCGACAGCTTTTACGAGTAAAACCTATAAAGAATTTAAGGCCAGATATGCCAATAACACCTTTACCTGATGTTAGTTTGGGTAATCAAAGCTCATTGAAAAAGACCAACCAACAAATACTAGTAATACAGAAATATTAATAATGAAAATAATTGGGGCTGAGAGATGGCTCAGCAGTCAAGTGTACTTCCTACTCTTTGAAAGGACCTGAATTTGGTTTTCAGCATCCACATCAGGTGGCTTACTGCTGTCTATAACTTCAGCTCCAGAGGATTTGAGGTTTCTGGCCTCCATAGGCACCTGCATTCATGTGTATGTACACATACATGCACCCCTACTAAAAATACCTATTATAAATAAACCTTAAAAAAATAATTATCAGTCTCTTTCCTATATATCTTTGGGTATTTTCTAAGTTTTTAAAATAAGAATTATTACAATCCATCAAATTCTGACAGACCATGTTTTTTTCTTTTTCATCATCTTTAAAAAAAAAAAAGATTATTTGTGTATGAGTGTTTTGTCACTGGGGTAGACTTTGAGATTTCAAAAGCTCATGCCAGGACTAGCCTTTTTCTTGTGGATCAGATATAAGTTCTCAGTTAGTGCTTGGTGCGGTGCCATGCCTGCCTGCCTGCCTGCCTGCCTGCTGCCCGCCATGATGTCATGGACTCTGCTACCCTTTGGAACTGTGAGCCCCAAACAATCTTTCTTTTATAAGTTGGCTTGGTCATGGTACTTTGTCAAAGTAGTAGAAAAGTAACTAAGACAGCAGGCAAAGACACTTGCCTCCAAACCTGAAAACTTCCTGAGTGCCATCCCAGGGAACTGCATGGTAGAGGGAAAGAACTGTCCTGTCCTACCCCTCCACCTCCCCACCTCAAGTTATCCTCTGACATCTACATGGGTGTCATGGCATCAGCATACGCGCACATACACAAACACACCCCCCCAGCACATTATTGTCAGGGTACCAGTCCAACCATAGAAACCACAAAATGTCATGTACCTGCTGTGCAGAAATGCTCTCCACCACATTCTTCTCCACCCAGTTTATCATGTGCTCTTCTTCCTTGCGACGCAGCATGTTCTGTACAGAAATATGGTAGTCCAGGCGATTCTTTACCTCCTTATATGCTCTATATAGCCGTTCTCGGTAGGTGACTTCCAAGGCCAAGGCAATATTATTCTGAGGGGAAGAATTAAGAAATGGTTTCATTTAATTAAGAAATGTTGTTTGCACACATGAAGGAACATTTCTGTTTCGGGGCTTTGCCAGCTAGCATACTCCATTTCTCACATGTTTATGTGAAATTCTTTTAATATGCAGGTAGTAAAACAGCATGTGGCAAATATTTACCAGCATGGCATAGACTACCATTTTCTTGCATTTCTTACATTCTTCCCTGTGGTGATATTTTATTTGTATGTTAATAAACAAAGTTTGCCTGGAGATCAGAGGACATAGATAGCCAGCCATAAACAAAAGTCAGGTGGTGGTAGCACCCTTTATCTGATCACATGGTGAGCAGAGTTTCTGTGCGTTCAAGGACACAGCCAAGCACGGTGACACACGCCTTTAATCCCAGTATCAACCATAGAGACCTGGAGGTCTGTACAGACAGGCAGTGACTAGGAAGTGAGGTGGCTGGGCTAAGAGCCAATGAAAGGGCAGAACAACAAGGCAATAAAGGCACAGTGTGGTAAGCTAAGGTTAAAAGATAGAAATAACAGAATAAAAGGGTAGATTATTAAATCTACTCTGAAAAGAATATGGCAGTGTGATAAGCTAAGGTTAGCTGGTGACTCTATTTCTCTGATCTCTACCGCTTTCGCCCCTGTATTTGGCTCTGTGTTTCTTATTTAATAAGACTGTTTAGAAATTTGTCTACATCTGGTGCCCAACTTGTTGGTATGAATTCGCAAAAAAGCTATTTGCCTGTGGCCTTATGGGCCCCAGCACCAGAGCTACACGTTGCTGGTTGCAGTGGCGCACACTTGGTAGGATTTGCTGAAGGAAGCAGAGGCAGAGTTTGAGGCCAGCCTAGGAGGCTTGCTGAGAAGCTGCGGCTGGGGCCAGGCCACAAATGGTGGTGGTGGGACCATGGAAACAGTGGCTGCTGTTCCATGTTGCTGGCTGCTTCTCATCATGTTGGTGGCTGTGGTGATGCTGCTACCTGGGACGAAGGGTTTACCGCTGCTTGTTCGGAGAAGAATTACCAGGACCATTGTGTTACAAGAAAGCATTAGCAAAAGTTAGTTTGGAGAAGTTTGTTGAGGCAAGTGGTGGGGAGAAATTGCTGTGAAGACACTCTCTTCTAGGGAAGAACGCTCGTGGTTCCAAGAAACAGACATTTATCGGACTGTGATTGCTTCAAACCACAGAGGCGGCAAAAAAAAAAAAAAAAAAAAAATTTCTGCAGGGAACCATGACCACACCTAATAGCAACTTTGAAATCTTCAAAGAGATGATGGGATCCCACAATGACAATTCCATATGGACTATGATAAAGCCATTAAACTGATTAACACCACTGAAAGATCTGCTTTGGACTACAAACTACAAAGGACAATTTTGAGATGGCTAGCTGAGATGATCCAGGATTCAGACTACTTGAGCAAGGACTTGAGACAAATGCTCTGCATTCTTCCATTATCTGAGACTGGACAACAAATAATACAGCTACCTCTCCCAGGACCTCACAATTAACCCAAAACCTTTCTTTTCAGGATCCCCTAAAGATGTTTTTGCCCCCAGAAAGCAGGAAGTTATTTTAAGAAAACGACACCCACATTTCCAAGGGTGGGTGGTTTTTGGTTGTTTAATGAGTTATGGATATTGTCATTGTTTACGATGGTTGGTTACAAGTTGTTAATTGTTAATGGTCAAAAAAAAAAAAGACTAAACAAAGGAGATTAGATTTAGGATTCTTGTTAAAAAATATAGATAAGAGGAAGATTATTGAATCTACTCTTAAAAAAAAGATAGAAATAACAGAATAAAAGGGTAGATTATTAAATCTACTCTGAAAAGAAAAAAGGGAAGATATAAAAATGGTAAGATAAAATGTAGATTTTTGACTCTACTCAGAAAAGAAAAAAGAGAGAATACGAATATGATAAGATAAAAAGGTAGATTGTTGAATCTACTGTTAAAAAGGAACTACTTGTTTTAAATAGGATAAGTAATAAAATTTTTTGTCTGAGTTTGTCAACTGTTAAAGGACTGGACATTGTTAATATATATAAAATGGGAGTTTTTTGTCTGAATCTGTCAAATGTTAATAGACTGGACATTGTTAATGTAATTCTTGACTGTATATATATTGTATATACTTATTGGATATAGTTATAAGCTTCTTTTATTGTTAAAAAAGGGGTGATATTGTGTCCCCATATATATTGTGCACCCTAATAAACTTATCTGGGGTCAGAGAACAGAACAGCCACTAGACAGATAAAGAGGCCAGAAAATGGTGGCACTCACACCTTTAATCCTAGCATTCTGGAGTCAGAGATCCATTTGGATCTCTGTGAGATCAAAGTCACACAGGAAACAGCCAGGCATGATGACACACGCCTTTAATCCCAGGAAGTGATGGCAGGAAGCAGAAAGGTATATAAGGCATGAGGACTAGGAACTAGAGTCTTGTTAAGCTTTTAGGCTTTTGAGCAGCAGTTCAGCTGAGATCCATTCGGATGAGGACACAGAGGCTTCCAGTTTGAGGAAACAAGATCAGCTGAGGAATTGGCAAGGTGAGGTTAGCTGTGGTTGGTTCTGTTTTTCTGATCTTTCAGCATTCACCCCACCTGGCTCTGGGTTTGTTTTTATTAATAAGACCTTCTAACAATTCATGTTACACTTCCCCAGAAATATTTAACACATCCAACAGAGATACATGCATACACATATTACTTTCCTTATGTTATACTACCCACCTCAATTTTAAAGTACACTGGAGTCCAGTATACTTGTGTTCCAGGATTCATTTACCCAAGATCTGCTAATAGGTTAGGCTGTTTCCGATCTTTTCTACTACAAACAGCTCCCCCCTCCCTGTGTGTGTGTGTGTGTGTGTGATATTTATCTTACGTTTGAATGGTAGTTTGTATTTTCTGAGTAACTACTATGTTCTAAACATTCTTGTGTTTGTGTCAATTTAGTCAAGTTTTAGAAATACATCATGGGTATCAGTGTATCTATTTTACAGAGAGAAACTGAGGCCGAAGTTGAACTTGCCCAAGGTTACAGAACTAATAAATTGTGAAACTAAGATCTGAACACAGGCAATCAGGCTACAAAGCCCCATACTCTTAAGATCTGTTCTTTGCTAACTGTCAAAACCAATTTGAAGGCTATCTGCAACAAGGTTACAGGGTGATCCCTTTAAATACAAGTGAAACCTTATCACTCCTCTGCCTGTGACAACTTTCTTTCAATCACTTTAGGTCAAGACCTTCTAGAAACATGAATGACTTGACATATTATAGTTCTTGGCTATGCTTCATCTTAGGTTATTCAGACCTTAAATTGCCATTTATTATCAGTTTATCATGGCCCAACACCTTTGTGACTATTAGGTAAATACTTAGGAATGTACAGACAGATCAGGTTTTATCATTTTATATATATTTGAGGCCTATAGAAGAGATTTTTTTGCTTTGCTGTAACTTGCCTACATAATGTTTCCACCAATGTGCTTTTATACGTTTTGACTGCATGTATGTAATTGCACTGTGTGTATATTTGTGTGCCCACAGAGGCCAGAAGAGAGTACCGGATCCCTTGGAACTGGGGTTACAGATGTAAGCCATCATGTGTGTGCTGGGAACCGATCCTGGGTTCTCTGCAAGAGCAGCAATTGCTCTTAACTGCTGAGCCACCTCTCCAGTGCCTCTACCAATGTATTTGAAAAATGTCTTGATTTAGAACTTCTTTTGTTCTGTTACTAAAGTGATACTATATTGGAGCACAGTATTTGGGATAACCTGAATGTGTTCTGGGGTCACTCGTATTTAGTTCCAGAATAAACTTTCTATATTCCCTTTAAGGTGAGAGTTGTCTTTTGTGTAGACAAAATACTATGCAAATACTATTGTGCAGTAAATACTATGAAGACATAAATTGTTTCTTGCTCTGTTTTTCTTCACACCTTGCCTTGACCACAGTATCCAGATAAGAACTCAACAAGTATGATGCTCAGAGCAATCCTTCTGTCTCAGCCTCCTGGGTAGTGGGTTATAGGTGTGAACCATCATACCAAGCTTGGCTTTAACATTTTCTGAGGTTTATAAATATTCATATGCTTAATGAATCCAATTAGTAAGAGTGTAGATTCTTAAGTCTTCAAGAGACCTAACTCTATAGGGCTTGAAATGGGTAAAAAAAACTAGTGAGTGGTGCATGGGGTAAGGAAACTTGAGAACCAGTGGCCTAGATCCTTACTATTAGTATTTTAGATACTTTATGTCAGTATCTGTTTTCATTGCATGCATGCTATATGTATGTGTGTAACATGCATGCCGCCTGTAGAAATCAGAAAAAGGTGTGATTCCCGAAACTGGAGTTAAGAATGGCTGTGAGCCACTATGAGGAACTGAACCTGAGTTTTCTGAAAGAGCAACAAGGGGTTGGGGATTTAGCTCAGTGATAGAGCGCTTGCCTAGCAAGTGCAAGGCCCTGGGTTCGGTCCTCAGCTCCGGAAAAAAAGAAAGAAAGAAAGAAAAAAAGAGCAACAATGTTCTTAACTGCTGAACCATCCCCACATGTGTGCTTATATAATGTAAAATTTCAGTATGAGACATCTTACCTTTAAATATCAGGCATTAGATACTAGGCTCAAAGAAAGTAATGACAAAATACCCTACATGTTTCTAATTTTAGAACCTAATTAAGCTCTGGGTACAATGAAAAGCTCTACTGCTTTCTAGACAGCTTTTTTGAATGTATGTTAAGGATCAAATTATCTAACGGCAAATGTTAAGATTTTCTTATTCAAGTATGTACAAAATGCAGAGTGTATTTCACCTTTGGCCTTTCTTACACAGTGCATGCCCTTTTAAAAAGGAGCCCTAACTTATTATTTATTTTCCTTTTGTATGGATTCAAAGAGTGTTCTTTCGCACTTTATACTGTTTCTAATTTTAGAACAATCCTAAGTATTTTTTTCACTTAGCAGTTCTTAAATATCTACATAATTGTAATTGTCAACTTCTAGGCAAATCTTCATTTCTATATAAAATAAGGCCCATCTTAAAAATTTAATCATTCCTCAAAATATTCTGACTTTTTGGTAGTGTTAGGCTTTCTTTCTTGTACATGGAAAGGAAGTAATCTACTGTTGAGCTACATCCCAGACACTAATTTTTGTTTCTGTTTTTGTCTTGGCCCACCCACAAGTGTCTTCCCCACCCTTAGAAGGTGCTGAAACCTACCCTCTGAACATCGAAGAGGTAGTGGCGCTTCTGAACCAGAGCCTGCTGTGCCTTCTCCATGTCAATTGCATCCTGGATCTGTTTTATGCTTGCTTGCTTGACTTCTTCCAGTTGAGCGATTTTTTCCTGTAATTATATTACAATGTCAGTGGAAACACAAATGGTACCAAAAAGATTCATTTTATGCTTTCTCAGTTTTAGCCTTCGTTTATAAAAATGCCCACAAGAAAGAAATACACAGGGAAACACACAAATCTTCAAAAGTATTACCTGTAAGAGTTACATATCATTCAATAAGAAAGATCAAGGAAGGAGGGTGTAGGATTAATTCAAACTAAGGATGTATGAAAAAGCCATACAAAAACTTGCTATTCTGTAGGATAATTAATGTATTATAATAATAAAGATAATAATAATAATAAAAAAAGAGCTTGAACAAAGATACCCTGCATAGGTGGGCCATACTGCTCCTAGAAGCCATAGGTTATTAAACAAACACCCCAGTGCCATGTGTGAGATAATAAATTGTTGGTTAGGGAGGCTCCAAGGGCCCCAATACAGTCTATTTCCATTGCTCTTGACTGAGCACCAGAACGAGATGGTTAAGATCCTACTGCTGAAGACACTTGGCTGCAGGACAGAGAAATCTAGTTTGAACTAAGACGGAAGTCTTTTGTCTGTCGGCTAGCTTTTACAATGCCTGAAAGTGCTAGGAAGACTGCTGAGGAAGAAAAGTCATCACTGTTTTTTTTCCTGCATCTGAACCCTTCAAGCTGTAATACCAACCTGCCAAGGAAGATATATCCAACGGTACAATAATGTTTGACTAGACTCTGTAAATCTAGTCCATATTCCATGGCTGAGAAGGCTATAACATATTGTTTTTTAAATGAATACAGTGTCAAACTGCTTTCTGCATATTTATGCTATACCCATAGATTAATGCAGCTCTTAGTCTTCGTCAGAGAAGCTTGTTTTCAGTGGGTGGCAATTATGAGACTCATTAACCAAAGTGCCAAGACTACATGACTGTGTAGTGCTCAGCCCTAAATGTGACATCCGTATCACTTTCACCAAGACTCAGGGAACATCAAGGGAGAGGAAGTGGAATGAATCTACGAGCTGGTGGCTATGGAAAATGCTGTGAGATGCTCTTTTCTGGACATGACATTAATGTCATTGCACTAATGAATTCACACCAGCTGGGAATATTTTACTTGTGCAAGACTGAGCTAGCTGTCAACATTCAATCATGGATGTGGGAGGGACTCATGAAGCCCCACACTTCACTACTGGCAGTTAATGGTTGCTGAGAGAGAGTCATTTTCTTTTCTTTTTTTTAACTGGAGCTGAGGACCGAACCCAGTGCCTTGTGCTTGCTAGGCAAGCGCTCTACCACTGAGCTAAATCCCCAACCCCAAGGGAGAGTCATTTTCTATTACCAGTATACCCACTGGTAAGTCGCCCATGCTTCTATAAAGAAACTCCCACCTATGCTCAAGCAAGCAACACTAATTAAAGTACATGAGTTACAAAAACAAAAGCAGGAAAAGGACCTGTTGGGAAGAAAGGTTCAGCAGAAATGGGAGGAGGGATGGAAGAGGGTAATGAAAAATGAATCTGATCAAAGTACATATAAGAAACTGTCAGAAGGAGAATGTCCACAAGTTCAAGGTTAGCCTGGTACACACACTGATCACTAGGCTAGCAAGGCTAGCAAGGCATACAGAGACCTTGTCTTAAAAAGTTAAAACAGCCAGGAGGTGGTGGCACACGCCTTTAATCCCAGCACTGGGAGGCATAGCCAGGTGGATCTCTGTGAGTTCAAGGCCAGCCTGGTCTACAGAGCAGCGAGATCCAGGACAGAACCAAAAGCTACACAGAGAAACCCTGTCTCAAAAAAAAAGAAAAGAAAAAGTTAAAACAAAATTCTGTCACTAAGGAGATGGACATTAAGGGATTCAGGAATTCAAGGTCAGCCTTGAATTTACAGAAAAGTTTAAGGTCAGCCTGTGCTACATGAAAGCCCTCAACAGGGTCCCAACATCACCAACCAACGAAACACAAATGGAAGCATAGTTTTTAATTCTAAAGAAATAACTGTTGCAATTTATTCCAGTTGATACTCAATGTAGAGATTAAACATCCTTAAAAATTTTTATTTGACAATTTTATACACACCGTTTTTTCTACTTAAAAGAGTTAAATGACATTTTTAGAAATGGGAAAAAGACTAGGAAAATCTGAAGAGTTCAGTAAATTTCAATTTTATATCAAAGCAGTAACTAACTACAATATGACTGTAACCATGGTAACTATTAATTGGTATACTTTCTCCTTTAACATTCATATAAATAATATTGGATAACTGAAATGTTTATGCTATAGTCTAAAGTGGGAAACAAAGTTTAAGATTCTTACCTCATTAAGTTTATCAAGAAATTCTCCAATAGAAGCACCATATTTCTTAATCACATAGACAATCAACCCTACTACTGTTATGGTAGAGAAGGTCTCTGGGGTAATCACATATATTTCTTTGGAGAGAAAATACAAGCTGAGCCCAGTTCCAAGCACGTAGGGTCCTGGAAGAACAGAGAGTTAACTCATATTTTAGATGTTATGCCTACATATTTTAAATGTTAACCTACATTTGGTTACTTCAAGGCCAAGTTAAAAATGATAATCAGATTATACACATACAGTTTAAGTAGTACACAGAGCTGAAAGAATAAAGATCTGGACTGAAGGAAATCTGTATCATATACACTACAATCTATCAGAAACAGAAATTAAAATAATCTCTGAACTCTCTTTCCACAAAGGGAAAGGGTACCTTCTTTGAAGGGCTGATAAAAACAGAAATAATATAAACATAAAGTACTTAGCACACAGGAACTATTCTACAAAGACAAACTGCTTTCTAGATTAATCTTTTCAGCAACAAATACTGATGACTGAATGGAAATACAGGACAGAACAAAACTATCCATTCTTTGCTGAGGAGTTATAAAAGATGTAAGAAAAAAGAGAAAAAAAACCCCAAATACTAAAAAATATACACATAAAAAGAATTACATTATCAGAATTCTCAACTTCTGTAGGCAACTAATTATAATACTTCCAATATAGTTACTTAAAACAAAACAAAACAAAACTAGGCCATGAGTTTAGAAAGAAGAGGATTGAGGACACAGTTTTCTTTTCTTTTTTCCTTTTTTTGGTTTTTTGAGACAAGGTTTCTCTGTGTAGCCCTGGCTGACCTCGAACTCACAGAGATCCGCCTGCTTTTGCCTCCCGAATGCTGGGATTAAAGGTGTGTGTCACCACTACGTGGCTTCAGACTTCTTATTGAAGTCTTGCATTCTTTTTAAATTTTTTTAAAGTTGGAATTTATGGGGTTGGAGAAATGCCTTAGTGGTCAAGAACATTTGCTGTTCTTGCAGAGGGCCCAGGCCTGAATTAGCACCCACAGGGCAGGTCACAACCTTTTGTAACTCCAGTTCCAGGAGATCAAAACTCTCTTCTGGCCTCTTAAGAGCACTGCATGCAAGTGGTACACAGATGTACATGCACGCAAAACATACATGCAAAAATTTAAGTCTTAAAAAGTTGAAATTTACGCCGGGCGGTGGTGGCGCACGCCTTTAATCCCAGCACTCGGGAGGCAGAGCCAGGCGGATCTCTGTGAGTTCGAGGCCAGCCTGGTCTACAGCGCGAGATCCAGGAAAGGCGCAAAGCTACACAGAGAAACCCTGTCTCGAAAAAAACCAAAAAAAAAAAAAAAAAAAAAAAAAAAAAAAAAAAAAAAGTTGAAATTTACGCTAGTGCATAGAGTGGACCTGGACTTCTCAAAAGAGTGTAACTAAAGTGACGCCCTGTCTCTCACACCTCCCAGACAAGTCTTGCTCTGTAGCCCTGGTTGGCACTAAACTTCCTGTGGCAATCTTGTCAGCTTCTGGCTGGGATTACAGGGATATGGCACCCTTGTCCAGCTAAGTGTCTACACTGTCATGATTTTTAAATTATAGTCTTTAGAACACAAATATTTGTATTAACATTCTCCTTGGCATCTTTTTTTTTTTTTTTCTCTCTCCTTGGTATCTTACCAGATGTTAGGATGGGACATAAGGCTTGTAAGAACAGCACTATAGTCTGAGTAGCAGTAGGGACAAATAATTTGAACAAGTATTACAAGAGTAAGAGTTACAGTCCCAACCATATAGAACCCAGATTTCTCAAAGTTTCAGGCTTCCCCCCGACCTCACTGTCTTTAGTGCATATATTTAAAATATGAGTTTATAAAAAAAAAGCCCATTGTATTAACATTTTAATGATTTATGAATATCTTGAAGACACTTATTTTCTTCCATTTCAAATAAGGAAATGCTATTTTAGGTCAGTCTAGGGCTAAAAACAAATTTTGGGTTTCCGGTGTTCCATGAAAGTAAGGCAGTGTGTAGAGACAAAAGAAAGCTAACTTAGCCACAGGACCTAAGATCCAATCCAGTTCAGCCGCAAGTGGGGTAAGACACCCTTGCAAACCACTTTTCTAGTGGTGAATAATGAAAGTGAAATCAGTCATTATAAAAAAATATGATTCTGAAAGTTTATGCCTTTTTATAAAAACAACTGATGAGGGAAGGTGTTCCTACTTGTTAAGACATGCATGTGAACATGCACACACACACTCCTCTCTCTAAATCTCTACTGCCTTATTTCTATTCATAGTTCCCTTTATTGTCTGACAGTATTACATACAGGTACTCATTTAAAAATTTTTTATCCTATAATACATGTTTCACAATATCAGACACTTAAACTTAGTTCATTATTGTATGGTTAGAATAATATCAGGAATAAATCAAAGAAATTAGCATGATTAGCATGTCAATAAATGGAAACAAAGCTACAAAAGTAAATTAAAATCCTGAAACAAAATTTATTTCAAAGAGAAGTTAGAGCAATTTTTTTTTTTTTAAAATATATGGAATCACTACTTTCTGAAAAAAGGACTTGACTTTAATGGTACCACTCAAATATATTACTAAAGACCAGACAATGCCCACCTGTTACACCAGTTTTAGGGTAAAGGAACTGGAAAAATTCTTCAGGGATCAGCCCTAGACGTACTTTTCCTCCATATTCGGGAAGAGGTGGTACAGGGGCAAGACGTGGCTGTCCTGTGTGAAAGACCTTTGTTGCCTGCAATACCCTACAAGCAATCATTATACAAATTAAAAACCAATTTTTCAGAGAAAACACAATGTACAAACAATTAACAAAAACAATGAATGGGGATAAAGACTGAGGTATTTCCTACTGTCATAAAAGAAAGAGAACAGACAGAAATAGGAAGGTCCAGGGCAGTGACTTAAGACTCTACTGAAATCTTTGTATAACACTATGGATCATTTACCAAGGACTTGATATGTGTCAATCAGGAGCAATGAAACACAAGAGAATGGACTACAGCCAGATGCCGTGAGTTAAAATCTTAAACCAACTACTAGACTTTGAGCAAAGAATTTGAAGTTTAAAAATATCTTTCTATTCTTCCTTTTTGTATTGTTTGTGTCTGCACACATGCACACCACCACACACGTGAAGGTCAGACAACAACTTGCAGTTGTTTCTCTCCTTCAGCTACGTGAATCTGGGAAACAGAACTCGGGTAGACCTGTCAGCTTTTGGCAGGTAGGTATCTTAACCTGCTAAGTCATCTTACCAGCACCTAGAACTGAAGTTTGTGTAATCTCAGATTTCTTTATGGAAGGAATAAAACATATTACTTTACAGGGCTATTATGAAGACTGAATTAATATATGTAACATTCTTAGAACGGAACTTGTCACATGGTAGGGTTCCACATGAATAGTTACCTAAATGCCAATGCTGCTGTAGGCAATCTGATACTGAGAATGTTGACTCTGAATATTCTCTTTGATGGACTGCTCATCACTATGTGACATAGGCCTTTTCAGTTTGCCAAGGTTACCTCAGTTGAAGCCTTCATTTTCTTTCTTAAACTATTTTAACATCCCCAAACATGATGGCTCTTCTTGTCAAATATTCCTTAAATGTAGCTCCTTCTTTCATATTACTGCCAACGCTTCTAAACATGAATCTGACATGAAAACTCTTCAGCAGGTTCTCTTCTGTTTACAGAAAACAAAACTATATAGCACAGCTGACCCAGTTCCTGCAAACTGAGCATCTTCATTTTTCTTTAGTGCCTTACCTCTACTCATATGAACTATTCATCTCTCTCAAAAACAAGCACTTGCCTTATACTGCTTCTTCTTGGTATGCCTTTTATTTAATGATAGCCAAATCCAAACAGTCTTCCAGATACCTCAAAGCATATCCTCTACAAAGACCTCAAAGCATATCCCCTACAAAGACAAACTTCAACAAATTATGCTGGGAAAAAATGGGTATCTACTTCCCAGCCTTTACAAAAACCTATCCCAAATGTAACAAAACCTTTAAGACAAACACAGGCAAGTACTTTCTGTGGGTGCTAATTGCTCAGGAAATAACGCCAACAACTGACATGTAATTTTATACAATTAAAACTCTTCTTCACAGCAAAGGAAATAAATAAATGAAGAGACAGCTACAGAATGGGAGAAAATCTTTGGTAAGTACATCTAACAGAATTAGTATCTATAAAATAAGACAAAACAAAACAAAACAACCCCTTAAATTTAAGAAATACAACCAAGTAAATAAATGAGCCAAGGAAATGGACAATATCCAAAAGGTGAGTAATAAACATAGAAAAAGGCTGAGCCTAGACCTTTAATCAAGCACTGGGGAGTTAGAGGTAGGGGAGCTCCTTGAGAGCAGCCTGGTCTACACAGCAATTTCCAGGCCAGCCAGGACTACAGAGGGAAGCTCTGTCTCAAAGAAAAATGGTTCAATATCACCAGCCAACAGGGAAATAAAAAAAACCACACTGAAGCTGGCATTGTGGTGCATGTCTTTAATCCCAGCACTCAGGAGGCAGAGGCAGGTGAATCTGAGTTCGAGGCCAGCCTGGTCTACAAAGTGAGTTCCAGGACATCGCAAGGGCTGCACACAGAGAAATCCTACCTCAAAAAACCAAAGCCAAAAAAAAAAAATCCAAACCAAAATAAAACAAAAAAACACCACATTGTCTCCCTCCTCTCCAATCAACATCTGAGGCAGGAGGGAAAGCCAGCCCTGAGGTCATAGGAGCAGGAGAGGTATCCCTGTCACTAATCAGCTACAGCACTTAGGAGAGTGGCCTCTAAACCGGCCTGGGCAATACAGCAGAGCTGATCCTGAAGGTGCAGGTGTGGGAGAACTGACCCTGAGGACATGAAAGCAGAACTGACTCAGCCCCATGCTCATCCTGTAAGGGGTGAACTAGCCAGGACAATGCAGGAGAGCTCACCCTGGTGGTGAGAACAAGGGAGAGCTGGTGGGCTGACCAATCCTGCAACTACCCAGGCCCAGAACCAGTTATGAATTAGCCCACACCAACATCTACCTCATCTGTGATCTACTGGAGCATGTGAAGGGACAGGTCCTGCAGACCCAAAGCTGCAGGATCTCCAAGACACAGGGCAACAGCAGAATAACCAACAGGAGTTCCAGTGAGGGCCTAGCAGTGTAGCAGATAGTGTGACAGAAACCAGAGGCCTCGAACCAGACCAATGACTTGCAACGAACACTTGCAAGTCAAGATATATGGATAAAAGGGTGTACTGCGTGACTCACTGTCACACTACAGCTTCCATGATGAGATTGATTTTTCCTTCTCTTCTTTTCCTCTTAAATTTTATTTTGGGGAGGGAGTGATACAAGGGCAGAGGGTAGATACAAAGGGACGGGGAAATGAATGGGACAGAGATGCATGATATAAAAGACACAAAGAATAAATAAAAGTTAAAAACAAACAAACAAAAAAATCCACCACATTGAGATTCATTCCAGTCAGAATAGAAATTATTAAGCCAAGTAACAAATGCTGGTGAGGACGTAAGGAAAAAGAGAAACCTTACATGCTGCTGGTGGGGGATGTAAATTAGTCCAGCCCCAAAATCAATAGGAAGGGCCCATAAAAAACTGAAAATAGATAATATCACTCAGCTAGAGCACCCCCGTCTATTTAAGCTAAGGATTGCAAGTCAGCATACCACAGAAATACTTGTACATCAGTGTTTATTGCATCACTATTCACAATAACTAAATTATGGAAGAAATCTAGGTGTCTGCGAACAGAGGAATGGATAGAGAAAATGTGCTATATGCACAATGAAATTTTATTCAAGTATACAGAATGAGATTATGTTGTCTGCAGGAAAATAGATATAATTGGAGATTATCATATAAGACAAATTCAGTCTCAGGAAGATAAAAATATCATGTTTTCTTTCATTTGTGGGTATTATTTTATAGAGGTACATAAAATCATGTCCATAACATGAAAATGGGAACCAAACTGTACAGAAGAATGAAGAGGACTAATGAGAGGGCAGAAAGGAGAAAAAAGATAGTAGATGAGCATGGGGGTGGGGCGCTAGGCTTGCTCAAGGTACATTATATACTTGTATAAAAATGTCCTTATAAAAGCCAGTACTTCATACAATGAACATATGACAATTAAAATTGAGCTTAGGCTGAAAAGATGGCCTAGCAGTCAAGAGTACTTGCTGTTCTTCTACAGGACCAGAGTTTAGTTCCCAGCACCTATGCTGGATTGCTCACAAGCACCCTTAACTCCAGCTGCAGATCTAACATCCTCTTCTTGCCTTTGCAAGCATTCATGCAGATACACTTGTGTGAAAGCAAGTGTGCACGCACACAGAAAAATAAAATTCTTAAAAAAACAAACAAACAAACAAGAAAACCCAAACCCAAAGCTTGGCATTTTCCAGAGAAAAGCAAGGCTGGTATGACTGGAATACAAAGCTACAGGGGAAGGTTGAAGAAGAACCAAAAGATAGGTGGGGTTGACTCAGGCTGAGTTTTCTTGGTTTTGCTAAGTCTGGATTTTATTTCAAGATGAATATGAGCTCTGAAGGTTCTAGGTGTGAGATTGTCATAATCTCTATGCTACATGGACAATGGGCTGCACTGGGATAAAAACAGAAGTTAAGACTAAAGGGCTAATGAAATTGCCCCATTCAAAACCATTGGCTGCTCATGCCATAATAATGGTGGTAGGCATAGTCAAAGAATTCCAGGAAAAGGCGCAAAGCTACACAGAGAAACCCTGTCTCAAAAAATCAAAAACAAAAACAAAAAACAAAAAAAAACCCCAAAGAATAATCTCCAGGCTGAGCATTGCTGATGTACTAGAATGGAGTGTGACAGAGGAGAAATGAAGGCTGCTTCTTGTATCTTCTCTATGCAGTTCACTTATCACTTGTGCCATGATTCATACTTGGCAGTGCCAAGGATCACACCAAGGGTACATTTCCAGCATACAGCTATTTTTCAATGTTTGCATGGAGTGATTTTTTTATAAGATGAAAGCAGTCAATGACAGTTTCACTTTATTGCACACACAAGACATTTACACCTAAATGAGGCCATTTTTTTTCAAGCATTCTGTAGTTATTTAACTGTGAAAGCTTCATGATTAAATTTAGGAGTTAAAATGTTTCACACACAGCGATATGTTTTAAGAAAAGAATTTTAACTGCAACAGCGCCAACATTTCTAAGTACACACAATGTACCAAGCACTGTTTCCTGAGTTTTACAAGAACTAAGTCTCTTATGTCTCATAATCCATAATATATGGCTCTAAGAGACAGTGAGTGGAGGAGCCAGGTGAACCCCGCTCCACCTCTGGAGCCTGTAAACTGTTCTATGCAGCTGTCCTGACTCCAGTTGTTGTGAGCTCCGTGAAGATGCACTGTCCTTCTCATTCTGTGATCGTCAAGATAAACATTTCCCAATTAATGCATGATTTCTGACTCCTGATACGACAACAGAAGACTGAAATCTGGGAGACACCCAAAACAACATGCTTTATTTTGTTACATTTAATCAGATCTGTTCTTGGGTGTAATCTAGTAACTGATTCAGAGCTTTGTGTCCCTGAAGGTCACTCACTGTGAGGGGCGAGAGTTACCCTCTTATGTGTCTGTCACAGAGGGAGATGATAACGTTCAAGGCAACTAGAATAAGCGTCTGAGTGAAGATTTAGGCTCGTCAAAATGAAGGAAAACGGTCATTTCTGGCTTAAAGCTAAGAAAAGGAAACCGAGTAATAAAACGCGGTGACACTTACCCTGGTCCCAGGACAGCCGCGTTTTTCAGACACGGGGCTGCAAACACACAAGGCGCAGGTTAGCAAAGCCAAGGTGAAATTCAGTTTCTACCTTCCTCGGTCGCCGCGAGACGGGGTCCCTACGCCCATGCATCCCTCCTTGACGTCCCCCCCGAGATCCTACATTGTCAGGCAGCTCGGCTCACTCCTCTGCTCAGGCCCAAACGTCGCTGTCCTTGCTTCACCCACTTTCCGCTTCCCTGGGACCCTAGCTTCTTCCCAGTCATCCTGACAGGCCAGCCCTGGGGTCTACGTCTCTCACCCGCTGTGGCGGCGGCAGAAAGTACCACCCGGGACAGCATGGTCCGCAAATGTCCAGACAGCGGTCTTTCGCGTCCCTTTGACCCCAAGCCGAGACTATCAGCGTAGGAGCAAGATGGCCGCTCGCATATCTCGCGAGAAGAGAGAGGAGTAGTTTCTCTCTGCCCTGCTAGATTTTTTTTTTTTTTTTTCTCGCGAGAAGGGGGGAAAAAAAAAAAAAAAACCCTGAAATCCCGCGGCAGGAAGGGCAGAAGGAAAGCGAGCTGGAAGTGTAGGCGCAGATCTCGCGAGGAGAGCGTATCCCTTGGAGAGGGGCGGAGGCGCAGAGCTGCACCACGTGGGGGGGTTCCGCCAGCGCGGAATCGGTATCGCCTAGTTTGGGTCCAGGTTGGATTTGGAATCGTGGAGATGCGGAAGGAAACCCCAACCCCGCTCGTGCCCCCGGCGGCCCGCGAGTGGAACCTGCCCCCCAATGCACCCGCCTGCATGGAACGGCAGTTGGAGGCTGCACGGTACCGGTCTGGTGAGCCGAGATTCTGGGCCTGGAAGCCCCTTTACCGAGCCCCGGTACTGACCCTGCCAAGTCCACCCAGCCCCTTGTGCCCTCCGGACTCCTACCAAGCGTTCGGGGGCTGCCCAGCCCTGGCCCACAAACCTGATCTCAAATCCAGACCCGGCCGGCGTTGGGTTTTCTGAGGTTACCATAGGAACGAGCCGGGCCTGCCACCTGACACCTTGTAACTTCCTTCTCCCCACCGTAGATGGTTCCCTTCTGCTCGGGGCCTCCAGTCTGAGTGGTCGCTGCTGGGCCGGCTCTCTGTGGTTTTTCAAGGATCCGAATGCGGCCCCCAACGAAGGCTTCTGTTCTGCGGGCGTCCAGACCGAGGCCGGAGTAGCTGACCTCACTTGGGTGGGGGACAAAGGTATCCTAGTGGCATCTGATTCAGGTGAGTCACTCCCTCCCCTGGAACTGAAGATGTAGGTTGGGATTGGAAAAGGTTTTAAACTGCTAGGGGGCCAGTTTGAATTGTCCAGTCAATTCACGCAAAAAAAATTAAGAAATGGATTGCAATTTTCCCTTGGCCCCCAGTCAGCCTAGACCAAAGAGAATGCTGATTTAAGAGGTGGTGCTGAAGACAGTCAGTACTACCTTTATTCCTGTTTATTTTGTTTTTTGAGACAGTCTCTCACCATGTAGTCCTGGCTGTCTCAGAAGTCACTAAGTAGATGAGGCTGGCCTTGAACTCACAGGGGTCTTTCCCTTGTTTCTGCCTTCCCTGTGTTGGGATAAAAGACATGTGCCACCATGCCTGGCCTCCTATTTTTACTGTTGTGGGTATTCTGGGAATTGAACCCAGCCACCTTGCTAGGCAACTGAGTGTCAGGCTGAGCAATTATAGGCTTTGGTGTTAAAGGAAAAAAAAAAAATGAATGAAATTGGGGGTGAATCTTAGGCAAGTTAGGGATGAGTATGATCAAACTATTGTGTGCATGGACAAAATTCTCAAAGAATCAAACATTACATTAAAAATCATATTAAATGAAAATTATATTAAATAAAATTTAGAAGTTGATGGGAACTGGGTGTGGGTGCTGCCTATCCCAGCAGAAGCAGGGGGGAGCTCTGTGAGTTATATGCCAGCCTGTTCTACATAGAGAGTTCCAGGCCAGCCAAAGCTATATAAGGAGACCCTGTCTCAAAAAGATTTATTTGGGGTCTGGAAAGATGACCTGGTGGTTACAAATGCTGACTGCTTTTCCAGAGGACCCAAGTTGGATTCCCAGCACCCACATTACCACTAACAACCATTTCTAACTCTAGTTTTTGGGGAATCCAGTGCTCTGTTTTGGCCTCCATGGGCACTGAATATACAGTTAAAAGTATCTCATGTGTGTGTGTGTGTGTGTGTGTGTGTGTGTGTGTGTGTGTGTGTGTAACTCTGTAGACCAGGCTGGCCTCGAACTCACAGAGATCCATCTGCCTCTACCTCCCGAGTGCTGGGATTAAAGGCGTGCGCCACCTATTGTATGCATGTATTCTTTTTTTTTTTTTTTTTTTTGGTTTTTTGAGACAGGGTTTCTCTGTGTAGCTTTGCGCCTTTCCTGGGACTCGCTTGGTAGCCCAGGCTGGCCTCGAACTCACAGAGATCCTCCTGGCTCTGCCTCCCGAGTACTGGGATTAAAGGCGTGCGCCACCACCGCCCGGCGTATGCATGTATTCTTAAGGTGTAGGGTGTGAAAGTTGAAAAGTAGAACATTAGAGATTGGGCCTCTCTGGCAGTGTTGAACGTTAAAATAGTGCAAGGCATTTTTTTTCAAGCAGTCTAATCAAATATTTATTAATGTCTGAATAACTGGGAAGAGATAATTTTATATCACTGAACTGTGCCGTGTAAGGCTTTATCTTTGTCTTCCTGGGAACCAGTTTCCCAGTATCCTCTCTGGAAGCAAAACAATTGATTTTATATCGATTTCCCTGTCTTTTTTCTAGCAGTTTTCCTCACATAGTCATCTGGGCTGTTGTTAGGAAAGCAGTAAGGTAACTTAAAACCAAAGGACCTGGAAGTTAGCTAAGCCCTTTAATTATGTGGACTTTGCTTTTACAGGAACAACTTTTTGTTAGCTCAGTAACAATGCCTGCTTGAGTCCTAGGCATGAGTTACCACCTTGGTCTAACCCAGGGTTGTGCTTCCCTCACCTACACCTCACCCCACTCTATCCTCAACAGGTGCTGTTGAATTGTGGGAACTAGATGAGAATGAGACACTTATTGTCAACAAGTTCTGCAAGTATGAGCATGATGACATTGTGTCTACTGTCACTGTCCTGAGCTCTGGCACACAAGCTGTCAGTGGTAGCAAAGACTTCTGGTGGGTCCCTGCTTTCATTACTCCCTCTCTAGGCTTCCTGTGGGTATCCTTACTATCCTCTTAATTTCACTGAGTAATGTTTTGGGCTGTTTTTAGAGTATAGTGAGTAAAAGCATGTCTGTTTCCTTAGAGATTTGGTAGTGCATTATAAATAAGACAGCAGGAGTTTAGGAGGCAGATAGGGGACATGTTGGTCAAACATGTTTTGTTTGAGTACATTTTTACATTGATAGTGCAAGTCACGATTCCTATTTCCTTTTTTGCATTATAGCATCAAAATTTGGGACCTGGCTCAGCAGATGTCACTGAATTCATACCGAGGTAAGTATTCCTTCTTGATTGGTACTGGCTGTAGTTATCTTTTATTTTCTCCTTTGGGATCTTTGAACTTTGTTTGGATAATAATAGCAAGTCTGTGTTCTCTTGGTAGCTTCTACTTACCCCCTACCTGCAGTCAGGTTCCATTATCTGTCACCTATCTGTTTCTCTGTGTTCCTGTTTCTGTTGGTTTAACAGCCTTTTGACTACATGGGTGTCTTAGTTACTGTTTTTTCCTGTGAAACAACATCATGATTAAGGAAAAAGCATTTAGTTGAAGGCTTGCTTACAGTTTCAGTGGGTTAGTCCATGACCGTCATCGTGAGAATGGGGGCAAGCAAGCAGGCATGGTGCTGGAGCGGTAACTAAGCTTACATCCTAATTCAGAAGCATGTGGCAGGAAGATAGCAAGACTGGGCCTGGTGTGGGCTTTTGAAACCTTGAGGTTTGAAGCCTATCCTCAGTGACAAACCTCCTCCAATAAGGCCACACCTCCCAGTCCTTCCTAAATAGTCCACCATTTAGGAGCCAAACATTTTAAACCACAGTGGCCAACAGCCTCTATCATCTTATACTTAGGGTTCATCAGATTCTTTTGAGTCTCCATTTGGTATGTCCCCTTCCTGTCCATTTCTTACATTCCATTTACCATCAGGCTTTAGCAGTAGCAGTAGATAGTTTCACTCATCTCTTCACCTGTAATCTTTGACTCTTTCCGTTCTTCATTGGTTTCTTGTAGCCTGCAGATCAAGATTCCATTTTCTTGTCAGCGTTCAAGCTTTATTATGACAGTAAGCTGTGCACCAGCTTGGCCCAGACAAAGTAGAGCCTTGTTCTCAGAGGATAAGCCCTGGGACTTGTGCATGTGTGTGAATGTGTGCTTGCATGTGGATGTCAGAAGTCTACTTTGGAGATACCTACTTTGTTTTTCAATCCTGATTCTCTGACTAGGACGTGGAGCTCACAGATGAGAGGAGACTGACCAGCCAGGGAGCCGCAGGGTTCACTTGTCTCTGCCTCCCCAGAGCTGAGATTATAAGCAAGTGCCACCATACTTGGCTTTTTCCGTAGATTCCGGGGTTGAATTCAGGTCTTCATGCTGATGTGGGAAGCGCTTTACTGATTGAGCTGTCTCTCCTGCCCAAGACTTTTGAATTTTCACCTCTGTAAAACATTTTTCAGGGCATTTCATCTCTTTCTTTAATGTGCTTTCTACTTTGCTTCATTAACAGAACCAGCAATTGACTTTATTTTGGTAGCAGTTCTTCATGGTTTCTGAATTCATGAAGATGGATTCTAGTGAGGATAGAAGGATGGAAGGTGATTTAATCCTTAAGACAGAACCATTTGAGTGCTCTGGAAGGGCTGGTTAAACGACCTCAGTGATTTCTTCAGCCACTAGCTAATTTGTAGCAGTGATTTTTTTTTTTTTTTTTTGCATATAGACCTCCTAAAAGAATTTAAAAGCTATACCCTCCCATACATTTTAACATTGTTAATGAAAAGATTTTAGTAGGCAAGTGAGATGGCTTGGTGGGAGACCTGTGTTTGATCTTTGGATTCCACTGGTGGAAGAACAGAACTGACTCCTGCAAGCTGTCCTTGGATCTCCATGTATGTGCTATGGCACATATGCACACATACACAATTAATAGATGAATGTTTCTAAAAAATTAGGCAGTTGCCGAGAAGTTAATTTTTTGTCATATCATTGTTATACATTTTTTTCTAAGCATGTGTTTTTCAGTGTCAGTAACCTACTCATAGAAACTATTTACAAATAGCCTAATGACGAAAACTAATTTGTATTGTTAGCAGCATTAGATTTCACTTCCTTTTAGAAAAGGTCCAGCTTGGTTTATTAATTCAGATAAGCTAATTGGTTATGTTCTTATGACAGCAACCATTTCATTTTCCAGTTTTCACTGTTAGAAACAGAAAGGCAAGT